GAAAGAAAGAAAGAAAGAAAGAAAGAAAGAAAGAAAGAAAGAAAGAGAAAGAAAGAAAGAAAGAAAGAAAGAAAGAAAGAAAGAAATACAGAGAGACCGTATTATTATTAGTCGTAGTAGTAGAGACCAATTTTAAAAAACATAGCAATACAGCAACATATCAAATACAAAGTATAAAACAACAGTAAAGCCTGAAGCAATTAGTAGCATGAAGGAGGCACCAGGCAACTTCTCTGAGCCGTGGCTATTGTTAGAAATTTGACAGCCTTTTTGGAAACACCTAAGGTTGGTCTTGCAGGAGGAAGGGAATGACCTCCTGCTCAGAAGAACAATGAAGGTTTCTAACAGTTGGTGTTATATGTTCTGCCCTCCATTTAGTATATAGCGGGCCTTCTAACAGTACATGAATCATGAGTACATGATTTGACCATTGTATTGGAGCATATCTCAGTTACAGTGGCAATGAGGTTACTGTTGGGAGACCTGAAAGAACAAGTCAGGATAGTTCATCAGGGAGAAAATCTACCTATGTGGTCACTAGGAGTCGAAAAGGGCTTGGTGTCACATAATTCATCAATCAATGGGAGCGTGCACAGGTATGGTTTTCATAAGGAATGCTGGTTTATCAGTCACTTATCACCCTAACAAGTAACTAACTAATTCAGGCCAAAGTGAAAAGTCCTCTATATGAAATGTGTAAAATATTTTTAAAAGATCTAACCCAGTCCCTCTTCTCTAATCATCTAATTATAGGAAAGTAGAATGGAGGGATGAGAGCCCAAAGTCATGTGGAGCCATGCCAAGACTCAGCAGTGGGTATAGTAGACACAAGATGCTGCTTAGGAATCAGAATCATGAAGGCATGGTCTCCTGGTCCACATCTAACAGGCCCCATAGGCATTCATGTCACACAGTGCATAGAGAAGTGCAGGTGTAATTCTGAATGTGACCATAAAGGGAGTTCTCCAAAACAGTCCAACACTGCTGTCTCAATGTTTTACTGGCCTTGCTGCTCTGCAGAAGGTCAAAACAATTTGCTGTCTTTGTGTGTGTGTGTATGACCATAAGGGATGAATTTGAACGTTGCTTGGACTATGGAACATTACTGGTAGAGAAGCCATGTTAAAACCATTCTGTGCTTGCAGAGGAAAGGGGAAGATCCTTTCATATGGTCTCTGGTTGTTGGTCTACCAGAGTAGGTTCCCGTGCAGGCCAAAAATTCATATAACTGGAGCTTTAGTTTTCTGAAAGAGAGAGAACTCTAGTCCTCTTAAATGCTGAGATAAGAATAAATAAACCTTCAATCATTTTTCCAAATTATTAATATACTTGAATAATATGATTAGACATAACAGATTTCTGGAAAGTTTGGTGGCATTTCAAAGCTTGATCTGAACAAAACACCTGAGATGTTACCAACTGATCTTCAGATTGAAGATCCTAGGAGAGTAATATTGATTCCACAACTTTCTCTTTCTATCATTCTGCTCGACAGGTTTTTCTAAGAATTCAGAAACCTGGAACGACTCCTTTTTTTTTTTTTTAATACAGTAATTATAATTTTAAAAATACTGTGGGACAAAACATGTATGGAGAAAACCAGAGACAATATCTCTGCTGTGCTCTTTTTTAGCACTCTTAACAATTATATGTTCAGCCTGGAAAGCAAAATTGATGCACTGACACAGTTATCGTATCAACTCCTAGAACATGGATAGGCATCTACAACAAGCCACAAAGATGTCACATGCATCAGGGTGTCCCAGCACAGAGAGCAGCAAGTATTGCATGATGTCATGAAACATGTGACATCATTTGCCCCCTTCACATGGATGCCTAGGGGAGTATGAACTGCAACATTGTAAAGAGATCAAAATTCACAAATGATGAGTGCTTTATGGTTACAGGAGATGTCATTCCATAAACCATCTACTTGTAGTACCACACAGTCTTCACCCTTCAAATCATTAGGTTCTTCAGATTTCCAGTTGGTGTACCTCAGGGTTTCTCCGTTCAAATACACAAACCTGCCCTCCGTCTGGAGGTCATTTATACTCAGGATAATGTGCTTGTCATTCCTCTTGACCATCGCTGTCAACGCTGCGTTCTCGGCAGCACTTTTTGGAGCAGCAAGGGCTCCACCAGCGCTGTTGCAGAAAATTCTCCCATTTCCGAAAGTGTCGCTCCAACCAGTTGAAACGAAGGTTTTCCCTCCAACAGTGGTCACCCCCATCATGGTGAAGACTAGGCTCCAAAAGAAAATAAATAAATCACCCCATGAAAAACAGCTTGTGGCAAACGAATCCTCTATACTCATAGCTCAGCGCAAAGCCTGAATGTACAGATGTACAGGTCTCCTTCCAGCTTAGCTCAGCTTCGTGGGATTTTGCTGGCAACCCTATTGAAATGGTTTGTCACTGCCTTCTTTGGTCTGTTTTATTTCCCAGTGACGCCTATATTTCCCATCCAAGTACTAACTTCCAATTCAGGGAAGTCTGGAAGGTGGCAAACTTGATCTAGCCAAATGCAAAGCTGAGCTTTTCCAGAAATCATTAGGGCTTAACTGTAGATGGACATTCCCTATAGAGGCCTTAATCAGTGTAGCTTTTCTGCCTTCCTTATGGGGACTTTTTCAGTTTTATTTATTTATTTTTTCCTCAGTGAACTGTGCATATGCGTATTCTGCAAAGTACTTTGCCTATTGATCAAATGGACTGCAGGCATTCTTATTCATCTATACCCAAATTTAAATCTCTTGAATGCCCTTCAGGAAGTTTTTTGAATTCAAAAACAGGGGGTGGGGGTGAGGAATATGAGCGTGGTTTGAAAAGTTTGTCAAGATCAATATCTAACGAATGCTAGAAAAAGACTGATGGTTTTCCTCTCCAGTGTGATAACCAATACTCGGAGTCTTTCTGGATCTCTGTGGAAGCAAAACAGAAAAACGTCCATCCCACCCAAAAATGGTTGTTTGCACATAGGAAATGGTGAAAGAGGTGACTCATGAATCTTAATTTCTGCAGCTGCTAAAAATCTGTATATCGTGTTGTGACATTCTCCTTTTCACGTGGAAGGCAAAATTGCGAAAGAAAATGAATTGGAAAGTCCACACATGATGTAGAACATGGGCAGCCAATAACTGCTCACCCCGAAGCTGCCATTGTACTTAGAGCTACTATATATACACTGCAAAAATTCAGACAAGCAGTAGATGGAAGCAAAGAATTAGAGACTTTAAAAAAAAAACACCTTTGCTACAGCTGTTTGGTCATAGACGAATTTGCTGAAAAATATCTGCTAGCCCTAATTATATTGTCATGTCTTCTACAGAGTCAAACCTTTGGTCCTCCCTTCTATGTAGCCAATCATATTCTGATTTGATTGGCAAAATTTCTCCAGGATTTCAAGCACAATCTGTCATTTTCCAGCATGAAGAAGGAAATGTCATAGGCTTTGACCTGATGTCAGTTTCTGACATATTTTTTCTCTCTCTCCCTCTGTTAAAAAAGGTATGTTTGACCAGAATGGTAGATTAGTTTTGGATTACATTATCTATAGGATTAGCTTAGATCTGTGGGATTTCCTGATGATGTAACATCAAAGAGCAACAAGCCCTGGACTTGCATAGTTTTTTTGAGACCAGCCAAGACAGAATAAATATTGTCACCTTGCTGGGCAGATCACTCTTACATGAATTTATTTATTGCATAGTCTTTTCTAAGCAGTGTGTTCCCACATGTGCAACAGCCTCTACCTGTGCTGTTGTGGCATTATTCACCCAGGGAACACTGGTGCACATGATTCCATTGTGCAAAGACACGTGTGAAGAGGCCTAGACATATACTACATATTTATGAAAGTTATATACTAAGGCATTTCAGGCTCTAGAAATGAACTGGAGAACATCATAGGGAGCTAGTTCGGCACACTGCTCATTATCAGTCACTTGCTCTGTCTCCCTTCTCCAGATGCTGCACACATTATTCCTCCATGTGGAACCTTCTCCCCCCTGAAGTTAGGTGCACCCCTTCCCGGCGGTCACTTAGGAAGTCCCTCAAGACCTGATTGTGTCATCAGGCCTGGGGGTCTTTGGGAACCAGAGACACTCTTAGTTGGCTTCACTATAATTGATATTCTGCTCTCTCCGTGGGGTTTGCATATTTTAAAGTTTAAAATCATTAAATATTTTGATAATGGTGCATTTTACTAATCACTTTTTAAAATCTTTTATAATGATTTTTAAAATTTATTTGTTATTTTATTCAGTTCTTCTATGCTGCCCAGAGTCACTTCGTGTGAGATCGGCAGCTGTATACATGTGATAAATAAATAATAAAATAAATAAAACAAATGCAGACAAACAGCTAACCCCCAAACTCTGCAAATCCATATTCCTCCTTACTCTTTCTGCTTCTGCTAAGTTCAGCTTGTAAGGTCTGGACCGTCTTTTCCAAAGCAGCAACTTGCCTTTGAACAGTATCAACAGCTAAAGAGAAAAATGGAGAGAAGGGAATCTCATCAAACACCAAAACTTCCATTTTCTTTTAACCCCTTCAGACCAGAACTTAGGAAGCTTCTAGATAAGGCTATATGATACAGTAGCTCTGCCACATTCATATCCTTATGCGGGAAGCCCAGAAGATGCAATTTTGGACTGCTCACTTTCCTGTTCCAGCCACCCCACCCCACCCCACCCCACCTCTCCCATTTCTTTTGTCTTTCTCTAAAACATCCAACAAGGAAGGAAGGCAAGGCAGAAAAGTTGCATGATGTCTTTTTATGGGTAGCACCAAGGAAGTTGCTACCAACGTATGCTATAAGCTTCAGAAAGTCCCCCTACCTTGAACCTCCAGATCTTCTTCTGGGGCATTTCTACCCACGTTTCAAACACAATACAGCCCCTGAACCCTCTCAGTGAAAAGGTAGCAGGGAAAGGGGCTGCTTTTGTGTAGGAGCAAGAAGAGATTGAAATGCAGCATAACAGGGTTGGGCAACTTGCAGGTTCAATCCATGCATTTTGCTCCATAATCACTCCAACCCAAACCTCCCAATAATGACACTTTGGCTCATTGACATGACCTTGTGAAGTCCTATCACTGGCCACAAGAATTGTAACTGCCAAGAGGTGGAAGGAGAAGGAGAAGGAGAAGGAGAAGGAG